AACAAACAAACAAACAAACCAAACAAGATTGAAGGCTAGGAAAGCTATGCTTTGTTTGAGCTATGACGATATTATAGTGAGTAATTTACGCTAAATTTCGTACTTATTGGAGGGGTGGTGAATAAATTAGAAAAGAGGGATGCCTGGAGAAAAAATGTCACATTTCTCGCACTAGGGGAAATTCACACATTTACCCGAACACTGACCGTCTTGTGAATGAATGCATATGATTTTATTATTTGAATAATACTCTCATTCACTGTATATTCTACTGCTACTCTATTTGTACCATTGTTATGGTGATAACAATAAATTTTGTTTAGGAAATCGCAGTCTTTTTAAATTTTACCTTTGCTTCATACAGTATGGCCTGCAAGTACATTTAAAAATTGATATCCGGCTCGCGCCCTGGAGAAAGTTGTACATGCCTTGTTTACACAAAATCCTTCTTTTACACTACAATCCATTGCAATAATAATGTAATATACATAAATAAATTTATTATACTACACAAAAGTAAACTTTAAAAAAAAAAACTTTATAAATGTATCGGAAAAATTCTCTAATGCCTAGCAGTAAGTAGCCGTTTTAATAATGTTATGTATTTAATTTAATGGCGAGAGGTACTTCTGATTTTGTCCATCATGTATGTGTATGATATACCTCTCTAAGCTGCTCATTGAGTCGTTTTTGCTTTGATTTTTCTTATAGTATTTGAGCGGGTTTTCAAATTGTCTGTTAGACAACGTCCCAGGTGGGCCAGCGGTTAGCATTCGGATTTACAATGCTAAAATCAGGAGTTCGATTTCTCTCGATGAACACAGCAAATAGCCCGATGTGGCTTTGTTATACAAAACACAGACACACTGTCAGATAACCGAAGAATATTTGAGTAAATGATTTTCAGTGTCATTACGCAGCAACCAGCCGAATTGCCGCGTTTATTCCGCCAGCGCTGCTATTTAGGGGATGAGAAAAGCCTACTACATCAGTTAAACATGAAAAATAACTAAGACAAATATGTAGCATAATGTTACATATTGTTTATGGAAATTCTCTGTGTTTTATTAGAGAACAACCTTTTGAATGCACTTCAACAAGAGTGGTATATAGCAATTAGACCATCAGGCGAGATTTTGTAGGACGGCATAACAAGATTTTAAGGTCATGTCAACTTATGTATAAGTTCGTGAGTTTGCTCAACACTAGCCACAAAACATAATCTGAGTGTTTGGAAAGAAAAATAGTGCAAATTACTTTTAGCTTATTTGTCTGAATCCCCAGTAATAATGAGCAGTTGTTTCAAAATGTCCTCGGATTTTCATCGAACAATTTCAGCTGTTCTATCTTTATATCTAATGTTTTTTATGGAAAAACACATAGTTAGATAGATTGAGAAATTATCATAAGACGCCAGACAAATATCTCACTATAAATATCACTCAATAGCTCGGAAAAAAGGGTCACATTGCTGAACAAAGCAACAGTACTAACTGTAAAATAACCAACTAGTTATCACATGAAGTATTGTACATATGAACATCCTTTTGTGAAACATCACTTGATAGCTTTGAAAGCAAGGAATACCGCTTACTTTTAGTCATTGATTTTTGACCAACTTGCCGTCCTAGCTGCTGGTCATTCAGTTAATCCCAGCCACAATGATTAAAGATTGGTTTCAGTGTCTCGCCCGACCATCAAATCAGATAGATTGCTCCTCTACTGTCACTTTCTCATCTGACTCCTAATAAACAGTCTGGTATGTACTACCAGTGTCTTTCTAGTCACCAGCTGAGATGAGATCATATGAAACAATATTTATTTCATCAGAGTTTTTATGTAGTCCATCTCTGATTCCTGGGGCAACTAGCAACAACAAATGAATACAGTAGAAATTATTAGATAACCCGGTTCAGGTGCTTGAACCCATAATGGTTGCAGAAAGTGAATGTATAATTTGGTTCAGAACATTATGGGTTCAAGCACGACAGATACTTACCTGCGTTGTTGTATACTTGAAGGGACGGACTATTTTCTATGCTATTTGCTTGCTAATACGTAGTTAAACACTACTCATGATTATATAGCCAAATATTCTACTCTTCCCTCTCCTACACAATTATCACCCAAATTTAAGCTTACATTACAGAGCCATCTATTGAGTTGTGAAATCTAAATATGTATATTTAAAATAGAAGTAATAATAAGTATGCAATTATTAAATGACAACTTAACATTATCACGTGTAAGTTGGCGAAATATGTCAGAAACTATAATACAAAGAAGAGAAAATATCTTAAAAAATACTCCAGAAATGCACAAAGGCAAGAAATGCCGCAATAATATGTCAAAAATTACTGGTAGTTTGAACTTCAACTCTTCTAGTATTTAATCAAATTGTTTGGCGACATTGTATTATGTTAATCATTTCATTCAGTATTTTTTTAGCTGAAGTTTTTAAGATTAAGAAATAAATTTACACTGTAATTGTAAGGTACAGTTATTGCCGTAGTATCGCTAATAGTAATAGTAAGTAGGACAACATTGTTAAGGCCAGGTCGTTTTGATCAAGCACGGATGAAGTGGCGGTTGCTTGGATCTGGTACTAGTAGCAGTTGACTCTGTCACTGTCTGGCTGAATTTCAGCCAACATAATACAATATAAAAGGTAAGTTATGTTAGATTTTTTTATTCTGGAGAAAAGTTGCCTTCACTGTTTTAGAAGGTTTTTCATATTCACTAAAGTAAAGAAAAATCGTGTATTTACTGAATTGAAACTTAATTCATAATGAATAGTGTTTACTGTATATTTTTAATTCAAATTTTTACAAGTATTTAAATAACATTAATGCTTTTTGTTCATAGAAAAAATAATGAATTTAGTGTTACTATTATTTAATAGTTTTATTGTAGTGTTGTACTTGTAGAGGCTGTCTTTTAAACAGTGGTGCTAGAAATAAAAGATTTAAATATTTTGAAATATGACCAGAAATGGATTTTGAACATTGTACATAAACAACAGATTTATGAAAAAATAGTAGTGCCATTTGTGAACAATAAATTGGTGTTAAACAAATACTGTGTTATTAATCCTTTGGGTATATGATTTATAAAAAACTAAATAAAATTGATAATAATTATCCTTCACTTACTTAATCTACTTTACACCTTAGCAGTTGTTGTTTATGCAATTGATGGTATTAATAATGCCTAAGCCACTACTGTGTCTTGTGTCCCAGCTGGCCTAATGGTCCTAGATGTTCGGTTTAAGGCCTCACTGGCACTGGATATGGCAGATAAAGTGTGGTTGACATATTACATATTCTTCTTAGCCTACTCTCATAATTTCTCACAAGTAATTGAAAACAGTAAATAAATTAAAATGATTATTTTATTGCTTTGACAACAAAGATCCAATATGCTTAAAAATTATAGTAAAAGTTCACAAGGAGTGCAATATATTTCGGCATTCCACATTATAATTTGTAGCACATGTTGAACTAATAATAATGGTAGTAATTGTCAGATATGAGTAGTTGTTTATTTTAACCAGGTATAACAGCCATTAAGCTTTAAGAGAGCAGTGTATTTGAACAAGGTGGAAAATTAAATGCAAATTAGTAGGCATATATGTATTACTTTAAAAATTATATTGCAAGTTTTTATTTTAAAATTGAGATGTGTACCTATACCTTATGATGTAACAAGTCACTTGAAATTGATCCTTCAACAATTTTGCTTTGGGAAAATTTAATTTAATTTCTAACCAATGGGCCAACCTGGATTATTCAGTTTTCTAATACTATTCTACCTCAAGCTACATAGAGAAACCCCCTTTTATTTTACCTAACTCTAATCTCTAAAATAGCCATCCAATCACCTGTCAAGCTCATTCAATTTTATATCTTCTACCACACATGAAGGCAAGCTGTTCCATAGGTCGACCACTGTATTTGAAAAGAAACTGCCTTAACTGGAGTTAGGTGTGCAAAGTGCCACATATTTTACAGAATCATCCTTTATTCAGTAGTAAAGTACAATGTTCCATTTCACTTAAGAATGGAACAATCTTTTTTTCTTTTTTCAAACCTTAGTTTCTGACTTGATGAAAAATGCTTACAATTGTGAAACTCAAACAAAAGTTTTTACTAATTTTAAAATTGTTTAGACGGCAGCCCTAACTGGTGTAATGTCTGTGTTTTTCATATCTTAAACCTGCACCCTCTAATTCAACTGTCTGAAGAATCTGTAAAAACAGTCTTGATTCATGGATTTCAAACTTCTAAAAATCTTAAGACTTTAATAAAACCATAGAGACTTCAAACCATCCTTTATTATACACCCCCCTCCAAACCTAAAATCATTCTCCTAGCTCTTTGAACCCTCACTGAAAACTGAACAATCATTTTTAAAGTTGACCAAAACTGAACACTGTTTCCCAAATGATGACTAATTAGCACCTTAGAGTGATCCTTACAATACCGAGATGTGATAATCATATCTAAAATAGTTATTCTTTGCTACATTGAACATTTTGTTGTTTGTGCCATTCAGAAATCCCTTGTGTAATTTTAATATTTTATACGTTGTTCTGACACCAAAAGAAGGCATGTCATACATTCTCATTCAGCATTAGGGTACTTGTTGAAAAGTAAACTTCAAATGATTATTGAAATTGTGAGGTAATGGTAAAAGTACGTTGTTAAAGTTCTAAACTGAGTTGGATCTAGTTCTATTGGTTAGGTTATATAGTGCCAACCCCCCCCCCCCCCCTTCCCTTAGTCCCGTTTACCCTTTTTGTTACTTATTTAGGTGGTAGTGACTTGAGACTAGGTTACCAAGTAAGCTTGACACTTGTTAGTTGGT